CCCCCCCCAAAAAAAAATCTGAAAAATAAAATCCAGTACTCAGATGCTAAGTTTATCCCCTTTTTTGATAGGGGAACCTTAAAAGACTTGGCAAAGTTTCTATATGGCAGAACAGGAAGAAAAATATTTTGCTGTTCATTGACTATGAACTATGAGTTCCATTTGCAGTTCTAACTAAAATTTGTCATAGGAAGTTTTAACACTTTTTTTGATCAACAAAAGTCTTGCTTAAAATGATTTTGCTTGGTAAAAGCAAATGAAAAGTTGCCTTTTGAAGTTTTTCCAATGTATGGTCCTATAAAGTTGCTATGGTAACATTATTTAGCTGTGCAAACAGCAGAGCTGCTGCAGCAGTAAACTGAAGTTGGAATTTATGCTACTACTTGTAGAGAAATAAAATTGCATTCAAGTTGTAGTACCGTATTTTCTCTTGAAATGCATTTGAAGCTAATCTTTTTTTATCCCAGAAGACCTTTAGGTTAAACCTAAGGATTGAGTGCTGCTAGAGAATTTGTGATGGATGGAAAATTCTGGAATCAATTCTGGACTGTCATGCTGCATCTGTCTTGTCATGTGTGCAGATCTTCTCAGGGCTGATACCCAGTATACTATTAGTTCTCATGTTCTCTAGAGTATGAGCAGCTGGTACATATTCTTGATGTAGAGGGTTTGTCAGTGTTGGCTGAGAACTTCGGTTCTTCTAGTGAAGTATAAATTTGAAGTTAGGGCTATTGAATGGCCTCAAATCATGGCTATGGGCCAGAGAACTGCAGCAGTGGCAGATTGTCAGTTTGGGCGGAGGTGAACACCTGCCAGGCTTGTGAGCTGCCTGAAGGTGGTATTAGTGTGTAGCTGGGGGGTTCCCTGCTCCTCATGGAGGAACCCCAAGGACAGCCATTACAGCTCTGTAGAGCTGTTAGCTTTTGCAATTGAGTTAGCAGAAACAGAACGTAGACATCTCCGTACTATAAGTTAATCCTAGTTGCATCTTTGCAATACGTCACTTAAAACAGTCCAAGGCAGCATGTAGCTTTACTACTTAACTGTGCTGCTGGTAACAGGATTAACACTTCAGCAGTGTGCTTTCGCATGCTTGGGCCAATGTTGGCATTTGGATTTTTGAACGGTGCTAACCCAGACTAAGTTAGGAGAAATTCATTTTGTAAGTGAATCTGAATTGCTGAGGTTGGAGAGGGACCTCTAGAGATCATCTAGTCAAACTGCCTGTTCACAGCTGGGTTAACTGGAGCAGGTTGCTCAGGGATGTGTCCAGTTGGGTTTTGATTATCTCCAAGGGCTAAAGACTCCAGGGTATCTCTGGAGTGTCTGACCACTCAGTAGTTTGTCAGTGAGGGTGTCTGACCCTCAGTAAGTTTTTTCTGTTTAAACAAATTCTAGTATTTCAACTTGTGCCTATTGCCTTTTGTCCTTTCCCTGGGTACCAGAGATGTCTGGCTCAGGCTTATTTGCTTCCCCCTGCCCCCCGTCAGGTATTGATAAGATCTCCCTAAGCTGCTTCTCCAGGCTAAATAGCCTAAGCTCTCCCAGCCTCTCTCTGTATGACAAATGCTCTAAGCCTGAATCATCTTCATGACTCTTTGCTGGACTTGCTCCTGATATGTTTGTTCGTTCATGCTGGGGATCCTGGGACTGGATACTGCGCTCAAAATGTGGCCTCACCAGTGCTGGGTAAGGGAGAATAATTACCTTCCCCGATCTGCTGGTGATGGTCTTCCTAATGCAGCCCAGGATACTGTTGGCCTTCTCTGCCACAAGGGCATGGTGTTGGATTTGTGGATATGTTTTCCACCAGTGTTGAGTTAAGCTGACCCAAAAGAAGATTTAGGCAACAGTGGAGCTGGTGCAAGGGAGAGTAATTACGTAGCAGGTGACTGGAGGTAAAAGGGAAGTGGAACTCCTTTTCTTGAATCGGATATAACTTGTGTCCTAATGCTCACTATAGAAGGCACTTCAGCATCAGTCAGCCTGCTGTGGTCAGGTAAATATTCAGGAGTCTAGCTTTTATTTTATTGTCAGGGTGGAACAGTGATCATGTACCAATATGTGATTCTGATTCTCAGTGTTTATGCTCAAAGTAAATAGTTATCGCATTATGTTATTTCAGCTGTGCTTATGCGGTCTTGAACTTATAGCTAAAACTGTATTTCAACTTGAACTTTGGAAGCATGGTTTAGAGCTCTAGTGCAGCTTAGCACTGTTTGTCTAAGCTTTAAAGGAACTGAGTGCTTTTGTTGCATGTGTATTCTGGAATGGGGGAGCTTTCTAATCTAAGTGATTCCTGTGGTACATGTTATAGGCTGGGAGTTCCAGTGTTAGGGGTTTAGTTTAGCTGAAGACAAAGACAAATACCATAGAGAATCTGAGTTAATCTAACTTAGATGAGGAGAAAATGAAAACTTTACACAAAACAAATGACTACATGAGATCAGGTGAGAATAATCTTCAATATCCAAATACACTTGCTACTTTTCATGAATACTATATGTTGCTTATCAGTACCATAACAGTATCACTCTGGCTGCTAGCTTGTTTTTCAATGCCATCTACTTTCTTGAAACAGATTAATTTTGAGTAGGAAAAGGGATTAGACAAGGATATGTCTGCTAATGTTCCTGCTAGAGGGGTTTAGGTGGTTCGAAAGGTAGACACTGCAGAAAACAACCAGGCTTTTGTGCTTTCTCTGTACATCCTTTCCTGTTGCCAGTGTTGGGAAGCAGGTACTGGATCTGAATCATTAGTCCAACTCCACTTCTCATTCTGTGCTGATAGTTGCAGGACTGTTTTCTCCAGGCTTGTATGGAGATTTGCAGGAACAGAAGGAACTTGTATTTGTAAAAGCTTGAAGAAATAAATCTTAGATTCTTCCACAAGTGTAACAGCTATTGCCATCTTTTTCCAAAGGTGTACAACTTGAATGAAGGGAACTGTGTGAAATGCATTAATTTGATACCTGTGATGAGACCAACCAATTCAATTTTTTAGTGCACTCCTAGAGTTAGCCAGTCCCACATTTCAAGGTCTGTCTTATAGTTTTAGTCACTCCTTAAACATTTAAGATAGCAGTATTACCTAAAACTAACATTTTTAACTTTATCTTGCTAATTTGAAGATAAATGTATCGTTAGTTAGATGTGGCTTGACTCTTCTGAATACACACCAGAAGCTACCTCTTTCCCCCTCTTCAAGAGGGAGAAGTCAGTCAAATGACATCTAAAACTTGAGTTACTTATCTCTCCTTCAGAGTTTATCATAGGTACTCAAGCAACTTCTGGAAAACACCTTTGCTGCCAAGTAAGCTTTCAGTGAGTTGAAGCATTGTGGTTTGATACTTGATGGAAGCTTGCCCAAAAGGAGATGGGTGATATTTAGCCTGAAATTACTAGGGAGTTGGCTTGGCTTAAGAGGGCTCAGTGGAATCTTTAAAAGGTTTTGTTCATCATACCTTGCTTTACTCTGTTTTCCAGAGGTTTCGGAAGTCTGCTACTTTGGGCTTACCCAAAAGCTGGGCTAAACACTTCTGTTCTCCTGCTGATGTAACTTATTGCTAAATTGGGGTGCTTTTTTTAATTTGGTAAACTTCAGACTGCGATAAAATGGGTGCATTGGCAAAAACTTTGAGAATGGATTGAAATAACTGACTTTCCCTTGAGTACTGAAAGGACAGTGAAGAGAAACTTAAAGATACTATTAACTCCAATGATGTGAAACTTAGGAAATCAGGAAATTTTAGCTTTGCCCTTTCATTCAATTACATTCTTTCTCCTAGCTTTGTACTCCATCATATTGTTCTGCGTCTTTCTGTGGATTCCCTTTGTCTATTTCTATTATGAGGAGAAGGAAGAAGATGATGGCAGCACATGCTCTGTAAGTTTGCTATGGCAAGTGTAGTGAAAAGATAAATGAATGCAGGCAAAAATGAAAGTAAATGATTGCCTAACTTTAATACTACAGTGGTTGTAATATTTCTAAGCCTTTTGTTACAGTTCCTTCTAAATATTGATTCAGAGGCAGCTTTTACTAACAGTTTAGTCTAATGTGGTCTATGTTAAGAAGCACAGTGATTTCACTTGAAATGAAACTTCACATATATTTACTTTTCTCAGTCTGCCAAAGAATTCTTTGGCAGATTTCCTACAGATCCATTTGCTCTTAGTTTTTCATACACAGAAGTTAATTTACATGAATTTTCTTAATTTTGGGAAATGCATCTGAACAGATTTTTGGAATAGAGGGGAAGAAGGCTACACTGATCCTGAGCTGGAAACTGTATTTCTAAGTGCCTTCTTCCTTTGAGGTTAATGTGCTTTTTTAAAAAAAAGCAGGTAGCAGTAACCTACCTGAAGCTAGCACTCTTTTAATATGCTGAGAATTTTTACAACTTGCATGGCATTCCAGTGCACTACAGGGAAAACTGCAGGTGCATGCTAATAAGGTGCTATTTAATCTAAAGATCCTTTTAATCCTTGATCATGATCACTTCTAGCTCTGCTCAGTGTAATCTTAACATGAAAGACTAAGTGTAGCTATAATAGCCATAATATAATACAATGGCAATAAGCCTATATTTGTCTTAGTTTTCTGTTAATATTAACTTTCTGTTTAATATACAGCAGGTTAAAACTGCACTCAGATACACTCTGGGATTCCTCACAATTTGTGCAGTTCTTCTCTTAATTGGGTAAGTAATAATGTATTGAATGTTAAGGGGAATATAACAAATAGAACTCTCCTCTGTGGAAGAGTAGAAATAGGTGGGTTATGGTGTAATCACACTTATACAATGAATCTCTTGTTTCATCTCTAATCAGGCTTAAATATCCCAAATACTATGTACCTGAAAATAAAGAGTTTAATTGGGAGGTAAAATGATTGACTTTAATTATGGAGGTACTTGTGCTTTGAAATTCTCCCGTTCTATGCAGTGTGAACGTAGTTCAAGGACACTGCTACAATATTTATTTGCAACTATCTCTGCATCTTAATGTGCAACAGGGATGGAATAACATTTTATTCCTGTTTTCTGCCTCTGCAATCTAATGCCTTCGTGGACATCCCAAATCAATATTTTGGAATGTGAGTGGATGTTACTTGTACTTCGTACTTTCACAAGTGGAAGTGCTCTGAAAAGGACCTGTTAATATAGTGTGGGCTTGTGCTTGATAGTGCCTTGTGTGATAAAGGTGGTGTTAGTGTTCATTTGAAATGTAAGTGCCACTTAAGTGGACAAAAGTTTTGTGCGTACTGTTATTCTGAAACTCCACACAATTTCTATTTAAGAACAATATTAAACATGACTTGCATGCTAATATTTAATATTTCTAAGTTATGGTCAGTCATAAGCTTTCATTCAAAGTTTTGACTACAACAATAAAGTTGGTAGATACCTATAAAATGGATGTTAAAATGATCCATTTTGAAGCAGTAGAATGTAAAGAAGTTGTGGAGTGAAATTAAACCATAGTGGAGTATCACTTCCAGTTCGGATAAACGCTTCAAGGTAGGCTTATAGCAAAAAGTTTTTTAAATTGGAACACTAAATTACAAGAGACTTGGGGAGCTTGAGTTAGCTGAATGATCTAGAAATACTGCTGAATCTTATAACAGCTGTTTTTCTGATCATTGACTCACATCATAGGCATACATGTATATACTGTATAAAATATCAAGTTTGGACACTGCTTTGCAGTATTTCTAGTAGGTATGCTCAAGCTGTAGTTGAATCCTTGGTAGCTGTGTGTTTGTTCTTCCAGTAAGGTGGCATGCTTGGTTCTTGTTTTTCTAATTATTCTATGCTTTTATTTCTGCTCTTTAAAGTATTCAGAACTTGTTAATTACAGCTGCTTCCGTGACACTCTTTTGATACTGTGCCATATGACAGTGAGACTGACTTGCAGGTCAGATAGCTGTAGTGCTTGGGCTGGGAATAAGTTGGTTGCTGAACAACACTGGCTGCTATTTTAAATCCACCTGTGGAGAAGTAATCTAAATAGACATATCTGCTGCACTGAACTAGAACTTATTTAGATCCTCATAGGGGTTTCACTGTCTTTTGAGGTCTAATTGGAACAATTTTTCTGCTGTGATACATATGAGCCTACTCACTGTCAAGGACGGTGGTGGTTGAGTAGTAACACTATGCTTATGCTCTTATGCCCTCACTACTTAAAACACTGCTACAGAGGAGCATAAATCCTGTCTGTTCCTTTTATGGGAAACTAATATTAGACTGAACAGCTCAGTTCAGGTGAGAACTGGTATATAATCCTGGGAGAAAACATGAGCCTTGGTTCTAGCATCTAGTACTTCTAAATAGGAATATTTATGTATGCATTTGTTATGAAGTTATTCATCTTGGAGGCAGTGACCTTAGCTGCACAGCAGAAGCAAACAGCAATATCGAAAGTCCAAGTGCACTGAAGAATTGAAATAACCTTGGAGCTGAAGCATCTCTGAGAAGTTCAGAGAAAGTTAAGTGGAGAAGACTGTCTTGCAGTAATGTCTATGCATGGCAGTAGCAGGATTTTTTTCTTACCCTTGTGGTGGTGAGGTAAGCACATGCTCAGGATCAGAGCAAATTAGCTGGAATAGAATTGTACTGGGTTCAGTTTTAGGAAACTAGGTTTAATAGACTAGAATAGATGAATGCGTGCCAAGTTTTAAGTAGGGAAGAAGTAGGAATATTTCCTGTTAATTTCCTGACAAATAGACTTTTAGTATATCTTGTCCTCATGTTCATGTGGTGTCCCATATCAGAACAGAGGTTATTTTGACTTGATTTAGCAAGTAATTACACAGACTTGTTTTACTTGCAGATTAGGTTGATTCTTTTGGAAAGTTGAGTCTCTGCGAGAAGTCCCTGCCTCTTCCCTGTTCAGAGTTGCCCAGAGAAACCATAAAAGCTGGATTAAGCTTTAGTTTAAGAATATCTTACTCTACCTGGATGCTTATCTTGCTCTGTTAGATCTGTGCAACTATCTTGAAGGGTAGTATCTGTCTTCTGCCAGACTACCTCTTGGAGCTTGTTCTAAGTCGATACTACAGCCCAGATGAGTAGGATTCCATTGCCTTAGCTGTTAGGGATACTTACGCCTATCTTTCCAGCTCTGTTGCACAAGGCTCTTGCTGTGGCAAAAATTGAGGAAGTCTGTAACAGCACTCAAATACTCTGCACAAATAACTATTAGGCAGAATATCGTTAGAAGCAAAATATAGGACAAACTAGCACCAGGATAATATGAACTAGTATTCACTTGTGATGTCTTTCCCAGCTTAGGAAAACTGTTTGCTGTCCTTGAATATAGTTTGCTTCTATTTACTCTAAATGTACCTCAGGATCTTTGCTTCCAGCTCATGACATTTACATTAAACCACCCCGGGCAGTAGTCTCTTTTGGAGTGAAATATTTGTATTTGAATCTATAAGCAATGTTTGTTTTAAAAAGTAGTACTTCCCTGACTACCAGTGCTTGGGATTGTGGAAGCTGGACTGGCTACCCTAAATTTTCTGAATGTATTGGCTTTTATAAAACTAGGAACTTGGTTCCGGTTGGCCTATAAGTTATTGAAAGCAGGACTCACTTGATGGAAATAAGTTTAAATCTAGTTTGTATGAACTTCAGTTTCTGAAGACCAGTTGTCCTTTTCTATGACTTAAGGACCAAAAATTTGGCCATCTCAACACTCCTGTTACTAGCTCTGCTAAAAGTTAGTGGTATTCTTATCCTGTGCTGCTTGTATGTGTTTTTTTCTGCAGTCTAGATCTCAATCAAATATTTACTCTTCTGATCATTTAAAAGCACTTCCTAGAAATATTAGCTACTTGAGCTTGATTGTACTGTGAAAATGACTGCAGTTAATCACTTAATTTGTATCTAGAACTCCAAGCACAAGACATGACAGTTGATCTACTCTGTTCACTTGCATTAACTGAATTCTCAGCTATACCTGTAAATCACTGTGCTGTGCTTGTGTTGAAATCGTGACTATCCACTCAGTTGGGAGAGCACATTTGATGCTGGTCTGCAGGTAGCTAGGCAAAACAATTCTGCCTCACTGTTGCATAGCAGCCTGTTAAGGTAGAGTTGCCAGCTCTGAGTGTGCTAGTCTGCCTTATGGCTAGCTGGCCCACAGCTGGAAGGCTCTATTCAGGAGGGGAGATAAGCTTCCTACTGGTCTGGAACTAAAATGTGAAGTTACTCCTAGCTACTCCATTCCTGTCTGAGGTCCTTCTTAGCGCATGGAACTTCGAGACTGCTCTCTTCTGGTCATCTCCTTTAGTCGCCGTATAGCTGGATACTAATTGAAGAGCATGTATAATGCCTACTCTGGCTTCCACTGTGCTTACTGTCCTTTGAGGTGTTGGTTATAGGTAGTCTTGACAAAAAATACTTTGTACCTCTTGTAATAAAAGTGAATTATAAATATCCTAAGGTGCTGTTCCCTTTCACTTATTCACTAGCTGTGGTAAATCCATATTAATTCCTAAAGTAAAAGGACTTGAACTTATTTAGCTTGCCAGTGTCTCTTTTTAACCCTTGAAAAAATGTAAAACTTCACTTGTTTGTTTTTTGCTTGCTCTTGTAGGTAGACAGTTTTGCCTGACTTCTAGTAAGTGATTTGATCTTGCCTGAATGCTCTTCTACAGTAAGAATAGAAAGAGGCAGTTATAAGAATTAAATGTTGGTTAAAACCAGCAAGTGTGTCAGTTTCAGTAAAGGCTAGCCTTAATCTACCTCTTGTATTGTCAGGAAGCTAAAAACAAACACTTAAGTTGGTGTTTAAGAACAGGACTCTTTAATTTTGCTCGCAGGGCAACAGTCTTGTTTTTGATATATTAAAAATAGAGAAGTGCACACCTATTGCAGTCTTGCACTAGCCTCTGAAATGCATGCTTACGTTCTCTACTTGAAATTTAATGCATACTCTGAGAGGATGCATATTTGTTATTTACTAGACTGGAAGCAGGAATTGGAATCTTCTGTACCTTTTCTTACAAAAGTCCAAATGATGTATGATCATTCTCTATGGCCTTTAGTTTGGGTTCTTGCATTCTAAAGCTTCTCTGTGCCATTCCAGGTCTTGTTTCCGTGGAGCTTGTAGGCATTCTTTTATGTCCTGAAACCATGGTTTCAGTTTGGTGTGGAAGTGTCTGTTTTTAGGCAGTTCCAACACAAGCTATTCTGGGATTCTAATGAGTTGAAAGATCTTGCTGTATATTGGATTTTGGATGGGGACACTGACAACAGGAAGTCTTAGCTGAGAGGCTGTTGTACTTGACATTTCTCAAAGCACTTTTAAAATCCCAGCCTACTGGAAGGTCACAAATACTTATTAAAGGTTTCCTTCTCTGCAGTTCAGTGTTCTCAGGCCAACCACCAAACAAGAAACTGAATGTAGAAGATTTTGTTGCTAAAATTGTAATTATGGAACATAAAAATGTGCCTTTAAACTTTTTGACTGCTTAGTGTGGGTATCTTGAGTTATTTTATTCCAGTGTCTAGAAGTGTGAATTTGAGACCTGATTTGTCTCAAGTATCTCTTAGTCTTGGTGCTTTTTGATGCCCTACCCTTAAATTAACCAGGCTGGTAAATCACAATAATATTTATTTGATGATACTTGAATGCAGGATCCTTACCTCTGTTAAGGCGGCTGGTAAATAGAAAGCCGTTAATTCACTGAACACCTACCTGACTCTATACAGATGGTAGCATGTGAGAGGAATGTAAATTAAAGGAATGCTGCCTTTAGAATTTTTTCATACTTAACCTCATACGATTTATTCTTCAGGAATAAATGGATTCCCATTTCCTTAATATGATAGTACAAGTCATATGATATTTCACTAATCAGGGTAAGTGAGATAAAATCTTGCTTTTTTTTACAGTGCTTTTGTTCCGTTGAATATTCCCAACAAGAAGAATTCCACAGAGTGGGAGAAAGTGAAGCTGCTGTTTGAAGAATTTGGAAGTAGTCGTAAGTTTAATATTTGTCCTGAGCTTTGCGTAAGTCGCTGCCAATTTATTTGGGCATGCTTTTCTTGTTTGTAATCAATAAATAACTTTCTGATAACTAGTTAACTTCTTTCTAACTTGATTCTTAACTGCTTGCTTACATTTATTGTTTGCAATCAGATTGTTTTTCTGTTCAGACCAAAAATTAGAGCCATCTTTTAAGTTCAGAAAAGGAGACACTGACTGTGTCTACTTTCAGTACTTTACCTTCAGTACAGTCTAAATTTGACAGTAAGGTTGTCAATTCAATTCCTGGATACTAGTAATGAAGGGGTTTGGGGACTGGTTCATACTTTCTTCCATGGAACCTTCATTTACCACAGCTTTGCAATCTTACTTGGGTACCCTAAAACTAATGAAGTTCAATACAGTGAATGTCTTGTGTTATGACAAATAATTTTTAAACAAATGTTTATTTAATGATACTGCTGTTTGAGAATGAGAACACTCTGTAAGTAGTTCTTTATTTAAATATGGAAATTCTGTGAGCCTTACAACTTTCCCTTCATTCTCCTAGTATTGACCTTCTCATTCTAAAACTTCTGTTTGTTACATCTGTAACTCTTCATGCAAGAGCTGTAAAGAACTATTGTGAAGGCTAAACTTCATGATGTTCTACTTACCCCTTAGCTTGGGCAGCTTTTGCATTTAGCCAGGCTATTTGCTTTTCTTAGTGAAAAGGTATGAAGGAAGTGGTTTATCTGTGAGCTAAGACAGGCTTGGTGTGATTTTTCCCGAACGTATCCAGTTGAAATAGTAAATTGTCTAGCATGTAGCTTAAGCCTGAAGTGTTAAGCACTCTAATCACAATCACAGAATGGCTGAGGTTGGAAGGGCCCTCTGGAGATCATCCAGTCCAACCTCCCTGCTCAAGCAGGGACCTCTAGAGCATATTGCCCAGGATCACATCCAGACGGGTTCTGAATATCTCCAGGGAAGGAGACTCCACAGCCTCTCTGGGCAACCTGTGCCAGTGCTCGGTCACCCTCACAGTGAAGAAGTTTTTCCTCAGGTTCAGATGGAACTTCCTGTGGTTCAGTTTGTGCCCATTGCCTCTTGTCCTGTTGCTGGGCACCACGGAGAAGAGGCTGGCCTCATCCTCTTGACACTCCCCCTTCAGATACTTGTACACATTGATGAGATCCCCTCTCAATCTTCTCTTCCCCAGGCTGAACAGGCCCAGCTCTCTCAGCCTTTCTTCAGAGGAGAGATGCTGCAGTCCCCTCATCATGTTTGGAACCCTCCACTGGACTCTTTCCAGGAGTGCCATGACTCTCTTGTAGTGGGGAGCCCAGAACTGGACACCAGGGGAGGCCTCCCCAGGGCTGAGGAGAGGGGCAGGATCACCTCCCTCCACCTGCTGGCAACACTGCCTAATGCAGCAGAGGACACCATTGGCCTTTTTGGCCATCAGGGCACATGGCTGGCTCATGTTTAACTTGTCCGCCAGCACTCCCAGGTCCTTCT